ATGTCGTTTTGTATCTCAATAATGAGTTATAAATCGTTTTAGTATCAATTTTAATTGAAACGATTTTGAAGTCGTTATGTGTGATCATAACTAGTTCTACGTCATTATGCAATTCAAAGAAGCAGTATTTATTTAACATTGAAACGATATGCATATCGTTTTGTATCTTAGGAATGAGTTCGAACTCGTTTTCGTATCAATTTCAACTGAGACGATTTCGAAGTCGTTATGTATGGTCATAACGAGTTCTATGTCGTTACACAAATCAGAGAAACAGTGTGTATTTAAAATTGAAACGATATACATGTTGCTTTGTGTCTCAGGAACGAGTTATAATATCAATTTTAACTTAAACGACTTCGAAATCGTTATATGTGTTCATAACGAGTTTTACTTTGTTACGCAATTCAGAGAAGCAATTCGTATTTAATATTGAAACGATATTCAATGTTGTTTTCTGTCTCAGGAATGAGTTCGAACTCGTTTTCGTATCAATTTCAACTGAAATGACTTCGAAGTCATTATGTGTAGTCATAACGAGTTTTACGTCGTTTCGCAAATCAGAGAAGCAATGCGTGTTTAACATTGAAACGATATGCATGTTGTTTTGTGTCTCGAAAATGAGTTATAACACATTTTAGTATTAATTTTAATTGAAACACCTTCGAAGTCGTTATGTGTGTTCATAACGAGTTCTACGTCGTTACGCAATTCTGATAAGCAATGCGTATTTAACATTGAAACGATATTCAATGTCATTTTCTGTTTGATGAACAAGTTCGAACTCGTTTTCCTATCAATGTCAATTGAAACGACTTCAAATTCGTTATGTGTGATTATAACGAGTTATACATCGTAACCCAAATCAGAGAAGCAGTGTGTATTTAACATTGAAACAACACTCATTGTTTTGTGTCTCAGAAACGGATTCGAACTCGTTTCAGTATCAATTTCATCTGAAACGACTTTGAAATCGTTATGAAAGGTCATAACGAGTTTGACGTCATTAAGCAAATCAGAGAAGCAGTGCGTATTTAACATTGAAACGATATGCATGTCATTTTGTGTCTCGGTAATGAGTTTGAACTCATTTTAATATCAAATTTAACTGAAATGACTTCAAAATCATTATTTCTAGTCATAAGGAGTTCGACGTTATTACGAAAATAACGATAGTAGTGTGCATCTTACACTACAACAATATGACAATGAAAGAAGAC